CACAAAAATACTGATTAACGAGAGTAATTATAATAAGAGAAGAGTCCATGAAATGATACAGATTAAAAAACATAACAATGCTATGAATTTCAGATTGGATACCAACAATCCTAACTCAGTATATCATACATTAATTAAATGAAATAAACATAGAATATTAACTAACACCCGGTATATAGAAGAATTTTGCAAACCAAAAATAATATCCTCAGAATGCAAAGAAAAATAGCTGAAAGTAAAATAAATCAATATAAACAGTATTTTATTCGCTTTGTGTCCAAAATGGACAAAATTAATACTCCAAATGTATGCCAAGGCTTAAAGTAGCAACAACGCTACACATGTAAGTAAAAATATTTAAGTATCTGAACGAAGAATTCTAGTCTCTTCCCAAATTTGATTGTCCTGACTAATCACCTGTTAGGCCTAATTAATTTTAGAGTGTTTTAAAGTATTGCAATTGTGATGTATTTTAATATGTGATATGATGAGGCTGTTGACGAACTGTGTTTGTTTTTTAAATTAATGAAATGTTTTTTCTAACTATCTGTTATTTTAGAAAAACTGATGATGGTGGAAAAATACACCGAAACGTATTTTAATTGATAAATAGAGACAATAAATGACAAAAGAAACACAGGAATCAATTTTGATTTGGAATTATTTATTTAGAAAAGCTGGTTAAAGACGAAAGAGTTCAGCAACCGAGTGGTTAGTTAGAGTTCGTCAATCTCGTTTTGTTCAAAGTTCAGTTGAGGATCAGTGAAATAATAGTAGTTCTTGAAACTGATGGTTCAAAATGTATGAACTTTTTTTTTAAACGTTTAAGTTCAAGCTAACTCATCAACCCATAAGGGAAAAGGAAAATGACTTGTTACGGTGTTTAGCTCCGCAAATGTCGATAAACCCCATAATAATAGTGTCGCGACTAGCGGAAGCGATCGAACTCCTCCTCCCACAATTACGACCGATGCGCTTTGACTTTTTCGCTAATTTGTGCAACTGAAAGTTCAGCTGTCGCCTCTTAATAACAGGGTTTTTGTTTTATCGGTTTCGGTAACCGTGAAGTAAACGGGCAATTTTGCGGTTCCACTCTTGGTGTATGAGGCGTTTTTAATCATCCTCGCCTACAAAATTTTAATTATACCTACCTACTGCTGGAGATTAGGAAAAGTTTAAGAAAACACTCGGTTTTTCAATGTAGAGTTCCAAATTGATTGCCCATAGTCAACAGTGAACGTTCCCAACTAAATCACTTGTATTTAACAGGATAATGAAACGTTTTCGGTGTCGATTATACGCTTTTAGCTCCTAATCCATTCTTTGGTGAATTATAGGGTTAAATCACTACAATTATCCGCACGGAATTTTTCGAGCTCTAAGGAATCCGTTCTTTTTTAACATTCCTGCAACCACTACATCCCAATGGCCATTACATGCAGTGGTAATTGTTCATTTGCGTTTCTATATGTTATTATTAGATTAGCATGTCTGTAATGTGAACACCATTTCAATTTAGCTAATCAACTTGATGGGGCGTAAATGATCCTATCTACATTAGATAAATTATATGAAACAAACTTTTCTAATATTATGGATTATGTAAATGCGTACATTATGCAAATGATCTATCGGTACCTAATCAGATGGAAGCGTAATTGCTTTATAAGTAGGAATTACGGTGCAAGTGATTGAGCGAATGAAGTAGAGTAAAAGACAGTAAATGGCGTTAATTCTACTACTTAAAGATAAATTCTACTACCAAGAAGTTTTTCCGTGGAACTTAGCAGGTTTTTAGCGCTAAATAATGAATTATGACCTACGATGTGATGACTTTGCCTTGCACTTGTTCTTGCATACATAGTCTAAGTCTTGGTCTGCCGGTATGAGTCTCGCTCATCACCGTTTCTTGCTCACTGCCTGCCGATCTCAATGCTTTTATTGATAATAAAATGCCAGGCAAATTAATATCAAACAGGACGTAAAATGCATATTAACTATCCAAGGGTTCCCCCGATAGGCCTCGGGTTCTTTCGGAAGCAGCAGGGCAGGTTGACGATCGCAAGCAGTGTGTAATTACGTTTGACATGTCGGAGATATATTGATTCGGTACCCAGTGATTATCGCATATTAAAGTCCTTCGGAAATCTATACTGAAATTACCCCGGCGAACTGGTCGCGAAGAGAAGACAGACGAGGATTGTTAGTCGCTACGAAATCGATCGTGATTGCGATGGTTTAGATAATTTTCCAGCCAAGATTAGGGTTTGGCTCAAGGCTATTAGATTTTGGGTAGAAGAACGAACCAGAGGGTTATTTTTAGACGTTCAACCGGCCAATTATTGACATTTTTATAACTCTATCTATTAGTCTAAGGCGGTTGTAGACAGTTGAAGCATTGCTTGGACGAAATACTTATTAAGAGGCACGGAAACTTTACAATTTTAATTTTTGTTTGGGAAAAATATGGCCATATAGGCAACAGAAAACGTATAGGATACAGTAGATTTGGTGGCAGAAATGAAGTTAGGAACCCGTGATAACTCAAAAGGTTATTGAATAGGTGAGGACGAAGAGGCTTAAAAGTTTACGCCACAAAGCACAAGTGCTACGCTTCCCCTGATAGTTGAAAGCGGAAAGAAGCGCCAATTTTGAATGAGGGAGAATAAGGAAATTTGTTTCCAAAATTTTTTTACAGAAATATCCAAAAATTAAGGTACAGGAATGCTTATGAAATCACAGTGGCCGACGTCGTCGCGACTCTAAAATCTGACTTTATAGTTCTGTAATTTATAAAATGTTTCAGGATGTTTAAAAAAGGCGCGGCAATATTCAAGAACGTAATTTCTTAGGTCATTTTATGAGAATAAGTTCCCATAAACATAAGCCCGAAAGTGCACAGTTTCCAAGATGCAGGGTGTTAAAATTTTGGTTTCATTTTTGTTTTTTCTTGGAATTTTCTAAATAATTCCATTGTATTGTTGAAATTTGGTATTTAGTGGTTTTGGAATTAGAAATTTTTCCTTCATATTAATTTAGCTCCAACTTGTAAGGGGCACCATCAACATGACTTTTTAGAAGTAAACATTCAGCTTTTTACGGTGAAAAAATTGGCTGCGACTTTTAGCTTCTTGTTGGCCAAAATAAAGTGAACTGGTTCAGTGTCTGAATATTTACAAATAAGTCATATTTGTTCTCCCTTTCTTTCTCAATGTGTGGGTTCTTTAATAGAAACGCATCAAGATGTGTTGAACATAAAAAGGAGAATTTATTCTCAGGATTAAAAAATTAAAACCAAGCGTTTCAAAAATGTAATTTCTCTTAGTCGGCTTTCTATGGTCCATGGAGCATTTAAGTAATGTTAAAATTTAAGGTTTCAAAATCTCTGTGTCTAAAGCTTGTATGCAAGCCAAAGGTCGTTGCCAAGTCTATAGCTTTTTTCTCAGGGTTTCAATCAATCTATTTTAAATGAAAATAATATGTTTAGATTTAGTTTCTGAAATACAGGCAATTTAAACATTAACTAAAAACATTCTTTCAAATATGAGACTTTGGGCATTTGGGATTAACACTATAAACCATTTGACCATTTGTGCACCTAATTATTGGATCAAGTATTCTTAAAAGTTCCGGGGTACAAAATTGCAAAAAATCATAATCCTGGATTCGAGACTAACAAAACATCCGTCCAAGAGTGTCTTTACAGAAAAAAACTTCTAAATCAAGCCCATAACGTAATGTTAGTTAAAATTACACTTTAAACCTTCACTCTCTTCAACATCGATGTTTAAAACAAGAATCTACTGCCTTCAGTTAATCTTGACATTGTGATTAAAAGAGTCTCATGGAACATGATCAAACTCCATCAGTGTAAACAGATGTTTCAACCGTTTTCCCCCCATACTGCAGTGTGTTTTTAAATAAATTATTTGGATGGTACTTTGCATCGGCTGACAGGGATCGCGTGATTGAAGTGACCTTTGCGTGCCTTGATTGTCGAAACAAAATACTATCGGCGGCGGTCTGATGATGAATCGGTAACAAGAACACCTGTCGATCGAGTGACTCCCTCAGATCCGGTGATTTTGACGAGTTATTGACGTGGTGGAAAGGGGAGGAAGTGTCTCAATTATCGCGATTATCAGCGTTGCGTTTATGTAAATAGGGAGAATTCGGTTGTCGGATGATTATCATGCAATTATCATATCAGTCACTGCAGGTCAACACAATTTCATGTTTTTTTCTGTCTTTTCTTTACAGATTCATATCTCGGTTGGCACGCTGTTGGGCCGAATTTCAACTACTGGTAAGTAATAAAACCACTTTTTATATAATGTGTTTTATATTGATAAGACATCTAAAAGTAAGTAACAATATACACTAATATATCCGGATGGCTCTGTTTTTACAGCACATTATTAGTAACATACCTTCTGTACAATTTTTAACTTTGAACGGCAAAGCCCTGGATAAAAGGGTATACCACAACCAAACTTAATTCAAAAAAACACTTATTAAGGGACCGATGAACTGAAAGCCAATAGTGATATACCCTTTTACGAAATATTATTTAAACAACATGGACTGTAACATGTACTATTTTTGGGTATTTACAAGCTGACACTTATTCTAACTTTTTACATTTACAAATAGTACAGCTAAGCTTTGCAGCTCGGGATAAGCTACTCTAGAAATTAAGTTGGAACTTAGTTGCTTGGCACTTTTACTAATGTGCAATGGATAATTCAACAAAGTAGGTAATGAGAATATTCTGAATGGGATTAATTCATTTTTAATTAAAGATGCAATTAGATTTTGAAAACAAAGTAAACCTAAAAATATTTCTACGAAAATAATGTAAAATCAACTAAAAAGCACATTTAAAAAAAAGTACATTTATTTTACCCCTATCGAACTGCTTAAGAGCAAAATCAATATTCGCAATAAAGAAACCCTGTACATTTTTCATCCGACTTTCCATTCATACAAATCAATGTTTTCGCAAAATACTCTTATATTTACAACTGTGCTCTTGGTGTTCTCAAAAGCCAAACATTGATCTGCGCCTTATTGTTCATCTAATCGATAAAGTTCAGAAGCAACGCAAAGCCATATAGCCTTTGCGTAACATCAGTTAACTAATCATAAGTGTATTGAAATTGAAAATGTTGGGATTTTAGTGGTTTTTGACTGGAAATGTGAAGTTTCAACAGCATGTGCGTTGGATGTTTTGTGTGATTTTTGGCCTTTAGTGTCGTTGTTGGGTGTTAAATGCTTAAAGGCGACATAATTAAGACTATAAGATGGTGTCATATGCCTAAAGACGCACTTGCACGAAACGTTTGCCAATCAAATATTTTTTCAAATCAACGGAAGCGAGGCTAATTCACTAAAATATTTATTGCAAATCATAAATAGGTTGCGGCCAACCATAATCCATAGAAAACCATTGACAATACTGATTCGGTGTTAGAACTAAAGACGTTTTCAAAAGTATGGATTATGCCGACAATTTACATCAACTCAAAAGTGCTATTTACACCAATATATATTACTATTACTCTCTAGCTCGTTTGGCTAGAGCCTTTGCCAGCTACCAAACCAGACCTTCATTTAGTTGTTGAGGGTTATCGGAGAAATTGCTGGGGGACATAAATTCCGGGCTTCCTCCCCGGCCAGTCCCTTGACCTCCGGGTCCTCCGGGCATCATTTGATCCGGTCCGGGTTGTTGGGGCATGAATTGGCCCGGTTCTTGTCCGGGCATACCACCAAAGTCGCCACCCATTGGTATCGGACCTCCATGATCCATTGGACCACCTATAAAATAATGGGAAAAAACAATGTATTGAGAGTATTTAGGGAGTACCGGAAAGTTTTTCTGAATTTGATCAAAGTCGACAGGTTCAGTTCATCAGCGATTATGATTTTTTGACTTAAATATTAATTAACGAAGAGTTTCACGTACAAAATTTCATACCTCCTTGGTTGAAGGGTAGACCTTGACCACCGGGGCCGCTTCCAGGATGATGTCCTGGGAAGAAAGGCCCATCATGGGTATGAAATGGGGGACCACCATAGCCGAACTCGAATTTTCCATCGGCAAAATAAGGGAAACCAGGTGGCCCGTCTTCCAAACCCCCTGGGGAGAGATTCATCGGAAATCCGCGCATTTTTCTCGAACCCCCAAAGAATGGCCCGCGACCCATCGAGGTTAGTTGTTTGAGTCGTCGCTCTTTCGACCTCTTGTTTTGGAACCAGACCTGAAACAAATAATCAAATTCAATCAGCTGATCCAAGGTCAAAAGTGCGAAATTGTCGCTGTTTTTTTCGAAGAAAACCATCCGATAACGAGAAATTAGCATCCGGTAGACCAAAACCAGAAAAAAGCATAAACGTGACTTTATTCAAACAATTATATGGCCACTTCTCTAATGACCCAACCAAGTCACCGTTATCACAACGTAAAAAAGAATTAAATGTAAAATTGATTAGTTCGTCCATTCCATGGGTTTATTTATTTAATTGATCACGAGTTCGTCGCGATAATTTTAATTTGGTTTTTATTGAACATTGGCACAAGCAACAAGGTGCGTAAATATTAAATTTGTTTATTTATTCGGGGTTCAGAGCAGAGCTTCCTGAAACACTTTCTAACAGTTTTGGGCTTGCACAATGCAACTGCAAAAACGAATGCTTCATTTGCTATTTCCAAAAAAACGTCTGAATCAGGTATAAACTATGAAAGAAAAAACGGCATCTCCAAGAAATGCTCCATCAGTAGGATCCCGATTAGTTTTCGCACCGTAAAAATAATAAATCACCATATTAGCATGGCGAATTTTAGCGCCGCGCTGACCCAAGCATTATCAATAATATTTCTGAAATAAGGACCATGTCGGACAGGCCAAAGGCCGAAGGGTGGTTTCGTGGAGTTCCAGCGCTTTGGAGGCTCCCCCAGGGGGTCTTTGTGATGCCGACTCGTCTGGCCTGTTGAGCCCCTCACAATTCGACCGCATTTCATCTCACAACTCGGAACCCGAACCTCTTCTGCTACGATTTGCGCGTATGGTACAGTTTTGGGTTGGATTATCGCTAAAATATTCTAATATGTTGAGTGAAGTGCATACAACCTTTTGGTTCTTCGATACATTGTTTTGTTGGTGTGCCTTTTGTTGATTGATTGCAATTCGTCAACGGTAGTCTATGTGTGAATAATTTAGTAAATGTAAATCCAACTGAACTAGCTCTGGAGAACGCAATGGCCCTTTGTTTCAGAGAAATGTTTTGAAGAAGGGAGACGACTTCCGCCTCCCTAGTAATTTTCTATGGATTCTCTTTTACCAAATATTCCCATTTTCTCCATTTAAAGACAACAGTTTCTTTGTGAGGAATGACTTGAGCTTTCGCGATCATCGCTTGAAACCGATGAGTTTTTCGAGATTTTATGCCGTGGTGGAATATAATTTGGAGTGCCCCTGAATAGGCTCTATTTGAGTGGGGCTTTCTCGTCTATTTGCTTGTTTCTTTTTATCCACTCTGTGGACATTTCAAGTCCTTACTTGCTCTAGTTGGTGTGATTAAATTTTTAGAAATATTATGGTCGGTGCTTTATAATTGTCTTTTATCTCAAGGATGAAGAGCTTGAAAAAAATCACGTTCTGCACGGGTTCATAATGATTGTTTCTTATTCTGTTGATTCTTGTCTTTTACACAATCTGTCCACTTTTCAAGTTTCTACATGCAGTCGTTTTTGAGTTTAGCAATTTTCCCTATGGGTTTGCGACACCTTCAAAAAATCGGCGGTTCTCAGGATTAGCGTGATTTTTTCTGTTTCTTATGGACTGTTTTAGCTCACCATGTTTTTTGTGGTTTATTGCCATTTATTGGTTTAATTTTTAAAATACGCCGGTTAGATCAGTTTTACACACAAATGAAAAAGAGTTCATTTGCAATGAAACTAGTGAGTGTTTCGGGCATTTAGGCAGTCTTCGAAAAAAACGTTTCGAAGCACTAGTGACTTGCATCTTCAGAGAGACAGAATAACGGCTTTGATTCATCTTAAACTCAATTGAAAAAGAGTAATTGAAAAAACCATAAACTAGTGTCTTTTTCAGGTTCGATTTTTTATTTGAATTTTCTGTTAAAGTCCTTACTTAAGTAAAATCTGTTTATTAAATTACTCAGCAAATCAATTTTGAAAAAATACGAGTAATTAAGACTATTGATGAACGACAAATTAAAACTTTATTTAAAACACTCACATCAATTATCCTTAGTCAATATCAATATTTATTGCCATATTAACCCGTTGATTGTTGAGAATTGAGCACTTTTTCACTTTCGATTCATTCACCTATGGCGCAAAGTGGTTTTGGAAGACTGGTTATACCGAATGGTACCCACTATTTGTATAAATTATTGAAGCCGTTTGACTTCCGATTAATCACGGTAAAAACATGCAATAAATCAATATAAACATGTTATTATCGTTACAGGTTTATCAAGTTCTTGCGCACGTTTTAGCTTAGTAGACCATTTACCTTTGTATCAAGTTGAATAGCTGAAATAGATCATTTTCTATCTATTGGCATCTATTGATTGTAAGCTTCTGTGGAATGCTTTCAGAAGAAGAAGTAAAGACCTAATTTTGCACTTTTTATTGTAACCTGTGTTTTATTTACGGGCAGTAAAATGTTGGCTAATCGTAGTGGGACAACAAAACAATCCCTTACTGGGAAGCAGTGAGGTTCATCAAGACTAAATAATAAAGGCCCCTTTACGTAGGCACCATTTTTTGAATGATTTACGTTCATTCTCGGCTCTCCAGAATCGCTATAAAATGGGCTTTATCGTTCCAAGGAAGCCGGCAATACAGGGCGGATCATGAAAAAAAAGTCGATTTTTTCAGCTGCTTTACGTGTATTTGTTCATTTTATTTGTCTATTGATTGGGGAGGAACCTTGTTTCTCATCGATTGCAATTTTTTCGTTGCAATTTCCTTTTCTAAGGTGGAAAGTGTGTGATAAATGAGCGTGAGCCACCCAGTACTGATCTGAAAAATCCATCGTCTGGCATCATTCAAAAGTAATATTTGACGTTTATGTATTTTTCAGGCCGCTCAAAGCCGGCCGACTATAAAATACAGTCGATACAAAAATCTTAACACCTGAATATATAAAATATTTATAAAGCCGTAAAACACATATTAAAAATAATATTTATATATGTGGAAAAGGACCGCTGGGTCAGTTTTACGGTGATATTGAGTTGTTTACGACCCACCGAGGCGGAATGGGTATACCATGCTTTCCCATCATGTTAATCCCCATGAAGTGGCTTGCTTAAATCCTGGCAATGTTGTCAGTTTTGTAATTCAGTTTCCAAACTACTAATGTTTTTAACGGACATTGAAATGAAAAAGCGGTTATACACGTTTGATGTTGATGTTTATTTTTCTTTGATTTCTACATAAATGGATCTGTTGGTTGAGTTTACAGGAAAAAAAACGAGCACCTGGTTGGTTCTACAGACGAAATTTGCATTATTATTGCCACATTTATGTTACTTATTTATAATGCAATTTTTATCTTTTTTTCGAGAAATAATACAAAACTACACTTTCCCGATTAAAGAGAAGTTCAACCTAAACTAATGGAAAATGTTGCATGTTGGCACTGTAAATGCCCAGACGGCATCACTTAAAATAAACGGCCGTTTTGGGTTTCACAGAAAAAAATTGTATGAATTTATCCCGGCGACGGCCAATTTCCCAAACTATTTCAACTGGTCGCATGGATGCACTTGAGATCCGTTCCTAATCAAGTTTCATTCGGTCTGATGATGAATGGACTCGAAACGAGACGACAGGGGCGACACGAAAGAGTTGCACTGAAAAGAGTGCTTCAAGGTGGAGATAATTAAGCGATTTGTCATTTTCCTTTAGATGTGATGTGTGGGGAACATGTGCAAATGTGCGGCGCCAACACTTTCGATTGAGACGAATGTTGAGTTATTAGTGACGCTTGTTTAGTGTTTTCTGGTTCTGACTAAGAAATTCGGCAAAAATTGCATGTTCGAAACAGCAGACGATTCAGACAGGCCCTGCCGCTCGATTTATCAAATTCTAGACCATCCATTTCACACGTCCTGAAACGAGAAGAGTAAAATAAATCATGCCCGCCCCCACACCTGGGTTCCCAACTATTTCAAAATTATCATTCTTCGGGTAATTAAGTTACCCCTGTAATTAAAAACAATGCCACAGGCCATGCATTCTTAGGGTGACCCGGTATAAATCTGTTTTTAATCCTCCAAACCTATAATTATGACTATGAGCAGAGTTGACTTTATTAATGAAGACAGGTTGGACTTCTGACACATTCTTCGGGTTCTCATTTCGAATCCATCAGAGAATTAACCCATTCGAGGTAGACGGATTTACATGTTAACTTCTACAAGCGATTATAATTAGTTGTAAGATGTTGCAGGGGAAGGAAACATGTACTTAGAGCTGAGCGCTTTAGTTTAGGATGCATTTTAACGCCGCGTGCAATTTGCTTCTTTTATAGCCAAATTTACACGGCCACCAGTCGACAAATTGCCTTAACTAACTGATTCACTTTTTTCCGCTATTTCCTGATCATTTAACGCAGGGTTACGATTGTACCAAACCTCAATAACTTGCACAGGATGCAACATAAGGCCAGATCCGCCCATGGGGTTGCCGAAAATATACGGGGGATAATGCGGAACAATAACCCATTGTATTGCAACTGTAGCAAGTGGGTAGCTATATTTCATCGATGAATCGACAACTCATAGGGTGAAAGCGTACAGTGGGACACGGAATTATTGTGTTGGTTTTATACAGAGTGTCCGGAGAAAATGTCGTTGAAAGTGTGTCAGAAAAGCACAAAATGAAAGTAAGAAGCTGGAAACTTGCCTTATTGGCCACAGATGCAGGCGAAACGTTTGGGCCCTTTCATATTCTACTATTCAATTAGAAATACAGGGTTGATACACGGTCAACTGCCACATTCTTTGACTCAAAAAATGCCTGGCTCCTCCGCTATTGATAGTTTTTCAAAGTTTTTCAAAAATTATGTGATTTTTGAACTGATGGGAGAATATTTGAGAKKATTTTTTTGAAAGTYGCTSATAATTTGTTCTGAYGTAAAACGCATATTTTTTGGAAGCGATGGAGTTCATCSGCTTGGRGCAACTGCTGAATTGTTGAGTGTTTTCGTCAAAAAACTACCAGAASTTTTTACTTGGTGACTGAAATGAACTCGTTTTTTGGAGTAAATSCACTAATCGTTTTCTRRCATTTTTGTGCTCTTCGTAAATTTTTGAAGCATTGACKTTTTTTTTACAAAAAAATATTTCTGCTTYYTTCCTAYATAAGAAAGTCAGKTATTAACTGATTTTTTGCATTAACCACTTAAATTAAGTKTTTCGTAATACAATATTCGATYCGTAGTAATAYACAAWAGGGTGTTTWYACTTTTTTTAATGTTGATATRTAGAAAGTAGTTATGKCAAACATTACACTGATACAATTTTTTTTGCAAAAAAAGTCTCCATAATAATTTTAAAGCGAATTTAAATTCAAATCAGATGTTTTCCGCCRAAAACGCCGAATCCATATYGTCGGTTGCCTATCCSGATTGTGACGTAGCAGGTCATATCAACAAAGYGTCTCGTGTTTATTTTGTTGYTTTYGCAGCTTTGTTTTATTATTTMAGTTATTGTGATCATCATTGTTTTATTGATTATTATTATCTTGYATACTAGAAAATAGTGACATGTATGSATCACAAAATAAATGGTGTTTTGTGCCAGRATGCAAGAATACTTCAATAAGTGCTCCAAACAAACTCTTTCTASCCGTTCCCCATGATTATGCACGTAAAGTTTTATGGTTCAAAGCAGCTAGAASTGATGTCTCTAAATCAAACTCAATGTTTTTTTGTTGGGAGGAYSATTTTAATGAAAGTACGAACAAAAMGCTAATGAYGAGGYAGACRGARTATGCCTTCGATCGTACTCTSTGTTCTGGGCAAATTCTACCTTGTACAGTGCACAAAAAACCCTCGCGTTTCAATTCCACATATCCGATAGCATTATCACCATATTGTCCTCGTGATGCCCAAAATACAAATTTAAGAGTTCATTTTACTTTTAAAGCAGCCATGTGTATAGATTAGGTTAAGTTGAATAAGTTAAATTCTATATATTATTTACCTAATTTAAACCAATACGCACAAATTAGTATATTAAGGAGAGAGTAACTAATAATGAATTTACGAATTTTTACTTACGCTGCTGCTTTGACACCCTTCAATCGGGCTGAATTAAAGCGTTAGTCGTTTTTTCAAAATTCGGTAACCATAAAAATATGTACACACGGTAAATTGTTTGTTGACGCTTTAAGGAATCTTTCTGAAGCCATTTTTTAATTTAACACAAACTTTAAATTATTTAAATCCACAAAATAATTAATGAAACACAACCACACAACTAAACACTATGCACAGAACGTAAACAATCAGCCATTTATATGACCAGAGACGCCACAACCAGTAGGATTGCGTTTTAGAGATTCATGAATAATTTCAATTTTAGCTGAATTTATTGATTAAATATTTAACAAAATAGCAATAGGTAGATAGTATAAACTTATTTAATCTTTCATATATGTATATTACCATAGATTAATGTTCAGTTTGTAGGAATTTTGGATACAATGAAAACACCCTATTCTGGAGAATGTACGATGGATTTTTATGGAGTTCGCTGTAAATTCGCTCTTTTGTAAATATTTTTTTTAAGCCGAAACTCTGATCGCTACAAGAGTATCCAAAAATGAGTCCAAAAAGGATTAGTGCTTGAACTCAAATAAAAATGAGTTTATTCCAACTACCAAATAAAAAACACTAAATTTGGTGGTTTTTGTACCAAGACACTAACAAATTCACCATAACTCGGCTGCACAACATTGGAAAAATGTTTCAAAAAACACTTTTTTAAATGATTTTGACCATCGATAGCATGTGAGCCAGACATTTCTTCTGAATAAAAGTTTCTGGTCAGATTATTTTAACCCAAAAATGTTGCAGAACTTTGTTGATCATATGCTTATAGCACAGCCGGTGTTTCAAATGTTTGCTTATTGCCAGTTAATTTCGAGCGCACTGTACACTTCGACAAATAATGGCTCCATATGACATGTGGCTGCAGAATATCAGAAAATTAGGGTAACTACCCGGGAAAGCAGTGTGCACTTGTTACCGACGACAAATACACTCACTTACACTGAAAAGGGTGGAAAAGCCCTAAAGGGGAGGCAGACTTTTACCGGGGCTGTTCAATTTTTTGGTCAAGTTCACGTATATTTTTGTCAAAATCCACAAGAAAGTGTTTTGAACTTTGCATTTCAAACTTGAATTGAGCTATAGGGAAACCTACAATTTCCCCACCTAGTTAATTGTAATCAATTGCGATATTTTCTGCCGTTGGTTGATGATTTCAAATGGTCCCGGTATGACCAAGATCGCATTACGGGTGGCAACACTCGTCAAACTCCAATAAATAAGTAAATATGACTGCGTCAAGTGCAAAAATTAATGGCCCTAGAATTAGTACGGTCCACTCGGTATTGTGCTGTTTTTGATTGCCCTGTGCCAAGGGTGCAGTTAAGAAAAATAACATTTGGTTACAGGGCGAGGGTTGCTCGATTTTACGCTCATATGATTAGGGCTTGTTTTCCGAAACACTCACAAAATCTACTTTGCCCTTGTAAAACCGCCTCAAATTGTAGGTCGTTGAAAACGCATACAAAAACTAGTCAAGTTAATAAAACCAAATCGTACCTGTATGACCCTCATGGGTAATCCGGTTTCCTTAGCCAATTGCTCCCGTATGTGTCGGGTGGGTTTCGGTGTCTGCGAAAACGCCGTCTTCAGGATCTCCAATTGTTTCGCCTTTATCGTTGTGCGTGGGCCGCGACGTTTCGACCCCGCGCCACTGTCATCAGGACTTTTGTTTTCCGTCTGTGAGTCCCGGGTTTCTGGATCTCCATCCAATGAGGTCTGGTCTTCCGAGTCGTTTTCCGTTTTGGGGTCCTGCAACAAAATACGTTTCTACTTACTACCGGCCTGGATGGATTTCGGTGTTTTTAACACAGCAGAACCTATTCGCTTATTAAGCAAGTAACTGTAAACCTAACAATCCATAACAATGTACAAAACAAGGCATTAAAGACTTCTTCACTTAATTACATCCACACATCCCTAACGTCTTTCGGTATAGCGTGAATCTTATCAAGTCAATCGGGCTCATGTAACTTCGATTCAACATTCGAAAAATTCATTGTTTCTTTGTCTTTCGGATTGGCGTTAGAAGAAGAGGCCGATGAGGTTCGGAGCATCATATCGGCAGCGCGTTTTGACAAGCCAGTTATTAATATCTATCAGGTGAGTGGTAATTTTAAATGTATTGCACCTGTCAGTCATGGCGTTTTATTAATGACCATACATTGCTCTCCTTTCTTTTGTTTATTTATTTTTTTCTTATTACTGGCAATTAGGAGCGCGCATTAATCCTGGTAGATGTCGGAATGAATGAATATCGTCGATCTTTACTTGATTACCACGTTGAAGTCGGTACTGGGTAATTAGGTTTATTTCAACCATCACAGATTTCGTTTGCTATTAATGCCAAAATGTTCGATAGTTACAGTATCCGGCTTTCGCTATGCGTTCGTAGTCTTTTGCCATTTACGCCGCACGAAACAAAATTGGAAAATATCCGCCAGTGGGCATCAGTTTATTGGCCCCTCGGGAATTGCGCTCAATAAAATCCATCGGAACCAGAAAACTGCAACCACCACGTCTAGATACGCAGTGGCTCTCAATGAAGGCCTGCAAATCGAACAGATTTAGTTACCCTGCAGCGTTGAAACAATTTGAATTTATTTGCGCGATCTAAAACTGAACGAAATTGCCGAGACGAATATCTTAATTGAAACTCTAAACACTTGGAAGGTGGCAACGAAACTATTAGTGGGTGATTTTTCGAACACTGGTAATTGCAAATAGCTGGCCTTTAATCAGAGGCTTGATTAATGGTTGGAGTATCGGATAGTTTTATGGTAACAATCTGGTGAGCTTCTACGCGAGAGCCTTTAGGGCGATTACGTAATTTAATTGTTTGGACGTTTTTACGGGAGAAAATGCACTGTGTAATTTGCATATGCGTTGAAGGTTGGTTTATTGTTCAAAAATTGTCTTCTAATTTTCATTTACTTGTGACCAGAGATGCATTAGATCTGAATTGTTAAATTTTGCCCTGTGAGGTTTTGTCTTACATTCCGTCTTCTATTGAGTTCGGATTTTGTGATGAGCAAAGCAAGATCAGCACCAAAACTTGCAAGTTAACTCTTGGTCTTGGTCTTGTTACAAGTCTTGCTTTTAACCAAGAAGAGAGGATTTGGAAAATACCCTGTCGTTACTTACACTTGTTCAAAGGTTTGCTTCTTAATTTTATGTTCCCGCACTTTAAGTGAATCGTTGGTATGTTAAGCGTTTAAAACCGTTCAATTTTCTTATCATATTTGAAGACTACGAGAACAGATTTAATGCGGTTCAATATCCAGTTAAATTTTTGAGTCTTGCAGAATATGATTTTCGACTTGTTCATCAAAAATATCCCTCGTTGGGCAAGGAAAAGAATATTTAAAGACGCTTCTAAGCAATCTTGAGCCCAAACAAGAAACAACCACTAAAATCGACGTAAAAGCGAAAACAAATTCTGTGTTGCTTACCTGTCCTATCGAATTACTAATATCCGAATGAGGTAAAGAATTGTTGTTAGTTTCGCCGGGGGCTGGCGGTAAGGAACCATGTATCGTGTGATGTTTTAATACAGATGAGGCTGTGCTGCTTTCGTCGTCCTCATCATCTTCGGACGCCGATCCCAACAATGAATCTGCAACAATCAGATTTTGAAAATTTAAAACCCCACCCTAGTCGTTGGTAGGCGCTGTATACAATAGGTGCCGATACCATTCACATTAAAGTTAAAACGATCCCAATGGGTATCAATGGCCGAATGAAAACACTCTGGATCGTAGATCCCAGAGCGAATGTAACCCGCGGCTGCAAAAACATGCCCCTTTGTTTGTAGTTGTTACCCCGTACCCAAACCAAATATTATTTTAAAGGGATGAAAGACAGGCGAATTTCAAATGAGCCTTCGGTGGAAACCATTAGATAGGCGAAATTTACGTTCATTTCGTCTAACGGTGAGCGGTAAAATGTGATGGTTATACAGGGAAATAGTTGAGCTAAGGGCATTGTCGTATTAAGCGGTTTAGTTGGGGCAGTGATTAGAGTCCTAAGTAGTACTAATTTCCCTCCGAATGCATAAATCAGCAAACTGATATTCCCAACGCACTAAAATCGTTATTGCTCTTATACATCGGCTTTAACGCAAAATCGAGCTTTCTGAGTGGTCGGCTCTGAGGAATGTTATGTGCCGCCACACGCCATAAACCCAGAACTCGTAACCCCGGCTAGAAATCGACGGTATATTTATGGCTCGAAAGTAATGGCCCTCTAAAATCCTTGAAAAAAATCATAAATGAAATAGTTTCCAATAAAACTGCAGGAAATCGATTCGAAGAGGTGAACTCCTCGGTGTCTTTTGCTTGCATTCCACACACAATTGATAGTTACCTGTTCAGTAATTAACAGCTCGCAAAGGTCAATGTTAGCGACACGTTTTTCATTGAAATTTTCCATCATTTTTGAAACTTTGTAGTTTGTAATAAAACTACATATTGAGTTTTTAGGTTTTGGAAAAGACGTTTCTCAGCTCGAGTGGCTCATATCTTCATAGGTCTTTGCTCCATGCTCTGTTGCATGAGACAGAATAAATGATTTTATTAAACTTTCACAGTTTGGTACATAAGCGAATTAATAAGTGAACAGAACCCAACTTGGCCTAAAATTTATCCAATACTGGAAACTCTTCGAACCTTTTACGTTCAAGTTCTTTTTAACTCAAAGACATGTTTTAAGTCATCTACGTCGGCCCTTCGATCCCCGAAATGTTTCTAAAACAGTCATCTGACATTCTCTTCTTTAGCTTCCTTAACTTTAATACTCGACTTGAATGCTCAATCTCTTGCATGTTTGTCCGTGGATGTTTAAGAATCCAGAAGGAACCAGCAGGTATAGGAGCAATATTTTCATTTTGTCCTGCGGAGCATTGTAAAATTTTATTGTTCAGTTCATACTCAGTTATTGCATCATAATCAATAGCAATTTGAAAGAAAATGAGTTTTATCAAGAAATTCACAACTTTATTAAGGAAAATGGGCGCAAAAACCTATAATGATTTTTCTTGCGCGTTGTTAGTGCGTATTTCCGTCAAATTCTATGAGCGCAAGTTTTAAGTAGCATCATTTAAAAACTAACTCCAAATTAGCTGTAATGCTGATAATTTTGGATCATCCTGTAAACAACCGGTCATGAAAGTAATAGAACAGTGCAACTGTGTTTTTAACGTCGAAATTTGACTGATCCATCCAATCCAAATATCTGATTCTTCAATTTACTAATCCAGTTGTTTTCAACTTTTTGCACTCACCAACCAGCAAACCAAATAAAATAATCTTTTATCGTCACCAAAATCCCCGGAGTTGAAGATTTGTTGGGCGAACTTTAATCCACAATAAGCGTTGGAAGTTATAAATTTAGAAACTTGAAAAAAAAACTCCACTCTTTGTTGAACCATCAAAACTTCAACTTGGAAATTTTCCATTCAATTAAAAGTTGTCGTCGGACTGGAGAGTTACATAACACGCTAATCCTGGCTAATTGAAAAAAGGGAGTTTTTGAGCGTTAGATCGTCGAAAAATAGCCGCTGGAAGTTATCTCGCTTTTGATCGAACACGTGAAGGAAAATGGGTTCTTTTCGGATGGCCGATTGAAATTTCGACGTTCGGAAGTTTTCATTTGTATACAATCGGGCTGTTTAAAGCCCCGTCAAGGTATTCGTGTGAATGCGAGTTTTGACACTTGCCGACGTCGACTTGGACGGTGGAACGGACGTGGGACAAGACACTCGCGGCGATCTTGACCCACGTCATCTCCATGTCTGGACGGGACGGTTTGAAAGACAACACTGGAGGGTTTTTAGCGGATTTTGTCCATTTAAACGATATCTATATGAAACGTTGATACGTTAAGCATCTGGATGCCTGCGGTTCGATGCTGTCAAGGAAAATGTGCTTGTATTTGCTCCGAAAGAAACAACTGAAGATTCTATGGAAGTGGAGTGAAGATTCTGAGGGAGTGCTAGATTTGTACCGAGCCGTATATTGAGATAGAGTAATTCCGGGAGAGATGACCCACCTTTTTTGATTCGAGTCTATCTTCACAAAAAATAGCTTTATTGACGTAAAAAAAATGTTGTCACAAAAATTTTAACTAACTGCAATCAGAACTGTAACTAAAGACTAAAAACTCGGACACATTTGCTGACAAAAAAATTAAATAAAAAAGCTTTACGCGGTCCAACTAACCCGAAATCTGCGAAATAGTTGAACCACCAATTTTTTTTCAAAGGATAAGGAACAAAATTAAACTTAATTAATTTTTTTTAAATTTTTTAATTAATAAGTTTTTTTGCGGCATTCACTGCACATATTTTC